AGTGAAAAAGGCATGTGCTCTCTGAGACATAACAATATCTACTTCAATTCTCATAGCTTGTTGGATATAAAATGTTCAACATACAATAAAAAGTTATAAAACATGAAAATGTGCAGGAAAATATGACTTGTAATCAGCACTAAATGTAGTCATTGAAACAGAACCACAGAGTAACCTAAATGTTCAGATTGGCAGAGGCTTTCAAATTACTATTATAAATGTGTTTCTAAAGGTGGGGGGAATAAAAGGAAAATAAAAAAAAAAAACAAGGAAGAAAAAAAGAAAATGAAACAGAAGAAATTAGAACTGAAAGAAAATAACTGAAATTAAGAATTTACTAATAGGTTTAACAGCAAACTACATACAGGGTAAGAATTCATGAACTTGAAGAAAAGTCAATACAGGTTGAGCATATTTCTAATTCAAAAACCTAAAATCCCAAATCTTCAAAATTAAAAAATTTTGAGTGCCAACATAATTCCACAAGTGGAAAATTTTACAGCAGAGTTCATGTAATGAGTCACAGTCTAAACTTAGTTCCAAGCACAAGCTTAATTAAGATACTGTATGAAATTCCTTAAGATTATATTTATATGATGTGTATGAAACATTATGAATCTCATGTTTAGACTTGGGTACTAAACAATTATATTTCATTATGTATATGCAAATATTCCAAAATTTGAAAAAGTTCAAAATCCAAACCCTCTGGCCCCAAACATTTCAGATAAAGGATACTCAACCTGTATATATTATGTTATCTACATTGAATCACAGGGGAAAAGAGGTGGGGGGAGCAGAAGCAGTAGAGGAAGAGGAGAAGTGGGTAATAGAGAAAATTTAAGAAAATAGAGAAAATTTCTCTGCCATTTACCCTTCAAATATTTCTTCTGTCATGTTCTCTTTCTCTTCTCCTACTGGACACCATTTGGATGTATGTTAGACTTTTCATTTATGCCCGTGTTTCTTTTATGATCCTTGCTGAATTTTCTATCCTTTTTTCTTTTTCTGTTTTAAAAAGACTTTTCTAGGGCAGTGCCTGTGGCTCAAAGGAGTAGGGTGCTGGCCCTATATGCCGGAGGGGGCGGGTTCAAACCCAGCTCCGGCCAAAAAAAAAAAAAGAAAAAAGAACCTTTTTTCAGTTCACTAATTAATGATTTCTTTTGTGTCTAATCTGTCATTAGATGTTAGATCTTTTATTGAATTGTTAAGGTTAGTTATTATATCTTATAGTTAGTTAAAATTTCCATTTGATTCCTTTACATAGATTCCAGTTTTGTGATGAAATTCTTCATTCTTTCATCTGTTTTGTTTATTTCTACCTTGATTTTTGTTTCTTTTTTCCCTCTCTTTCTCCCTTCTTTCCTTCGCTTTCCTTTCTTTCTTTCTGACAGAGTCTCATTCTATTGCTCAAGCTAGAGTACTGTGAAATCAGCCTAGCTCATAGTAACCTCAGACTGCTCCAGTGAGGAGGAGTGATCTT